GAATGTATAAGTGTGCTTTACACAATTGATGTACGTGTGGATTATGATTAGAGTTGTATGAGCCCCCAATTAAATGATTTTTTAAAAAGTAAACATATCCTTAAAAAAGATAGAGGTATCATTAAAAACGTATCATTTTGGGGTGTTGGTGACTGTCAGTTGATTTCAACTCACAGAGACCCCATGTAACAGGGCTGCCCCATAGATTTTTCTTGACCTTCATCTTTGTGGAAATAGAGCGCCAGATCTTTGTCCAACAGAACCATTGGGTAGGCCTGCACAGTTGACCACTTGACCATTGTGGCACCAGGGATCCGTAACAATCCTTACATGTCAGGAAATAGGGCATTTTATTTCAGGAAACATACCAAGCCACCATTCAAGGTACCATCCATTCCTACTACGTCAATACAAACCAGACACATTGTCACCAGAAATACTTAAGTCCCACTTGGCCATTATTTCACTGAGAAAACTTTCCATTGGCTTTGATTTTATAAATTTGTGGAGATTGTTAAAAGCTATGAAAAGAATAATTTTACATATGCAAATATACATGTGTATGTCTGCATACTTTTTCCCACACATTATATGTATATATGACTATATTGTCCTACCATAGAGAGTATACATTAGAAAAACTATTTGGTAGGAAAGATGGAGGAATACTGAGGAAGTTAATATCAGCAAACATGTTCTCTTTGAAACAGCAAATTAGATGTGCGGGGGGATTTTGGTCACACTTCAAAGAATAATATCCTGAGATGGAGAGCTATTCTGTTTACTCTTGCTGTCGCTGGTGAGATTTTTCTATGTTAAACAGGCTTGTGATTACTTCAAAGCATGTTTGAAGTCCTCACTCTGCATAGCTCATGCACAAAGACAAATAGGCATCCAAATTTGTGCAGCTAATATTGCCACGCTTTTTATGTGCAAGAAAGACGAGCCTGCAGCTTTCTCGTTAACACCAAGTTAATGCCTCCTTCGTTTAGCTATGACAGTGAAGGTCGCCTGACAAATGTGACGTTTCCAACTGGAGTGGTCACAAACCTTCATGGGGACATGGACAAGGCAATCACAGTGGACATTGAGTCATCCAGCCGAGAAGAGGATGTCAGCATCACTTCAAATCTCTCCTCGATTGATTCCTTCTACACCATGGTCCAAGGTAAACATGAAAGGCCAGTTGTCAACCGATCCTGTGTGTACGGTCGCGCTAACACAGGAATAGTGAGTGACAATCCCCATTTCCTCGTAAGATAGTCAGAAAGAGAGAGGTGAAACCATGAGCCTCCACAGGCACAGGTGAAACCGTCTAGTGTAGACGTATGATAATTATGTGTGCATGTCCAAAACCACAAAATATAAAATATATTATGTTCATCTAAAAACAGTCCCATCCCCTGTATTCTGAGAGCAGTGGTTTGAGACACAGCTCCTTTTGAATCAACCTATGACGTCACTTGAAATTTTATCCCAACTACCCGTAGGGACTTTCTGGGTTTATTTGCGGGGGTTTTTCCCATTCAATCTGAAGTCATGATACTGGATACAAAATCTCCCATAGACTTTGGTTTTATAAATGTGTTGAGGTATTGAAAGAACTGAAAGGTCCTGAAAGACTATTTTATGTGTACAAATAGATACATGTGTGTCCAATGTCATGAGACCAACCCCTGGCCACGCTCCTTTCGTTCTAATACTTTGTGGAGGTGAGAAGTAACCACTTCCAGGTGAACAGCTAAGGGACATCTGGGGTGCCCACAATGCTGTGTGACCAACACCTGGAGCCAGTTCCCAATTAACTGCTCCAGACTAAGCTGCCATGCTCAGTAAGCAGCCGTAGTCTTTTAAAATGATCTTCACTAAAAGACCTGTCTACCATTACATTAGCAGCGGTGAGGTTATAGCTCTAAGAATAATTACACACTAAATCTGTGTGATCATTCCAGTATTGCCTTGAGTTGATTTCTTCCCCTCAAATGGCCTTATGTTATTCGAAATCTGAAAGTTGGGAGGTGGTTTGCAATAGTAGAGTCTTCATTTTGCTGTGTTTGGGAGGAGACCAAATTATGGTATGACACCCTCCCAGCTCTTAGCATTAATTTTGGGAGAAAAGTAACACCTATTTTGGCATACAAGGTATAACTATTAAAAGAATCAAAGCATCTTTGACAGAGAATAAAAAGTGGCAGGCATAAAGAAGGCTTCTAAGACCTTGGTGAGGAAGGCACCATATGCCATGGTGGCGAGCCCTCCTTTCATCTGGCAAAACTAACAAAGGACACAGAAGAGAAAGGATATTTGTTGAACGGAGAGCTTCCAGTACTCCCAAAGCTGGCCTGTAATATTCAACCAAACCTCTTAAGAGTACAAATGCTAAAGAATAGAAGTGATTTGTTCCTGTCTTAAAAGCCATCATTAAGGACTCTTCATTTCCTTGTCAAAGGAAATCATAAATTTAGATCACGTCCAACAACAAAACCATCCAAGTGTTGAAGCCTTCGCTCCAGCCATGCTTTCTGCCTCTTTTTCTTTCAGATCAACTGAGAAACAGCTACCAGATTGGTTACGACGGCTCCCTCAGAATTATCTATGCCAGTGGCCTGGATTCCCATTACCAGACAGAGCCCCATGTCCTCGCTGGCACAGCTAACCCTACGGTGGCCAAGAGAAACATGACTCTCCCTGGTGAGAGCGGTCAAAATCTGGTAGAATGGCGATTCCGGAAAGAGCAAGCCCAAGGGAAGGTCAATGTCTTTGGTCGAAAGCTGAGGGTAAGTACGTCTTGGGAAATGGATGGTAGCTGCCCCGTTCCCAGCCCTGTCCACTGGCCCCTCTCTGGGGGCAGCCCACCCCCAGTTCACCCTCATCTGTCCAGGACTACACTTGGGGTGACACCTTTACCTCAGGGCAGGGATGACCGCCCACCAGGGAAACTGCTTCTAATAAAAGCCGCTTACTGTAGAAAATGGTTTTTTTCTTTTTTTTCCCTCTAGAGCTGTGATTAAAAATACATTCTTCCTGGAAAACGTAGGAAATTGCACCTCGCACAGCCCCAGCCAGCCTGGCTGTCAATTGATCCTTGTTTTACTAACGACTTAATCATCTTGTCCTTTCCTTCGCCCACACCGTAGGAGTGATGACTTCTTCGTGGGCGGATGGGGATTAAGTAAGAATTGGTTTAAGTATTGAACGTTTTCCAAAGCACAAATATGTGTATTAAAACGAGATGGGCTAGGGATTGAAAGGTGAATGCTTTCTCTCGGGTTCTCCAGGATGGACACGAGAGGTCAGGCAGATAGGGGGTTACCAAGTTCAGCCCTAACTGCTGCCTTGTTACCACTGATGGAAAGCTGCATGCCCTTGTTGGTTGGCTTCTTTCTTGTTTTTTTCCACGAGAAATGTGATGGTATATCCGATGGTGTTCGTGTAAGTGGTCTTTGCACTGTTCTCGTGCTTTCTCCTCCCTCTCGTCTTGTGGGCCAGACAGGAGGTGAGTCAAAAAGTATTGCTACAAAACCACAGAGACGTTTAGAAAGCAAAAATACCCAACGTGAAGCGGTGATCTCTCTGCATAGTCACCACTCTGATGCATACACTTTTCCAGGCAGCATGCCCGTCGTTCGAACCCTTCCCTGTAGGTGATCGCGGTCCTCCTTGTACACCAAGGGACCTCCGTGCCGCCTCACGGGGCTCAAACAGTGTTCCTTCGAATGTTCTCTGAGTTTGGGAAACAAAAACTCTGAAGGGCCAAGGTCATGACTGTAGGATGGATGGGGTAGGGTTTCCCTACAAAACTCTCCTAGGGGGGCCCCAAGCGGGTACCTTGTTGTGATGGAAAAAATCCCTCCCTGGATTTTTTCTCAGCAATGCAATTTTCAGAAGATTTCCTAAGAAGCCCCATGATTGTCCATGTTCTTGGAGAAAATCCATGAAGATTACCCTTTGGCAGTCCCAGGGAACAGTCTCCGTAACCCTCTGAGCTGACCACCCTCCCTGCCTGGCACGTCACGGACCCAGCAGATCCCTCCGGAAGATGCTGCTTAGATTGAGCTTATTGTTTTGAGAGTTATCCTAATGAGATGAAGAAACGTGTAGGACCGAGAGAGCAGACAAAGAGTTGAAAGACGCTTTGTTGGGAATAAATCCTTGCATGTATGAACTAAAACCCTAGTAGTGGCAATACTTGTGACCGAGCCGGTCGATGTCAAAGACAAACCGTGATTTCTGGCGGTTACTTAGTAATAAGAGCATAGATTACATTGTAAGAAACTACCCTCACACCACCACAAATTGAGCCTGGTTTTAGCTTAGAAATATCAACTGCTCTTAGCTAAGAAAGTCGTCTTAAAGACAGTGTTTTGCCTGCCATTAGAAAAAAATAAAAAACACTTAAAACCAAGGAGTGAAGAAAACATGGACTACACCATTAATATCCTTTCGCCGATAACCAAAAAATCCATCAGAACATTACAGCCTGCCAAGGTTCTTGGCTCTTTCCAAGAGCTAGAAATGAAGTAGAAAGCTTCTGTGGATTAAATACAGACTAGAGTTTGATTCCACTTCAGTTTTGAAGTTGGTGTGTGAGACTCTCCATATATGGCCTAGAACCCATGTTACATGTTCTCACCTCACCCCTAGTCCAGGCCATGGGAGCCAGGACACCCTAGGGCCAGGCCTCCCTGGATCGGGCATTCTGACCAGCAGTTTTGAGGGGAGACTGGAGGGAGCTTAGAGGGATGAAAGGGCAAGCATCGGAACCCGAGTGAGGGGAACAGGACTGAGCACCGGCCAGAGCCTGAAATCAGAAGTAAACTCCAGCACCTGTCTTTCCTTCCTTTGACCCCGGGTCTCACTAGCTAATTGTTTCCCCATCAGCTCTCATGACTTACTGCTTCCTGGGAACATGGCAAAGTATGAACTCATCCACAGGTTTTATCTTACTCCATGATCCCTGAAGCAGTGGTCATGTACACGCGTACATAGCCGGTGCACACGGGCACCCATGCTTTCAGACAGAGCTGCATCAAAAGACCAAAGATGCTTCTTACATCTTCACTCTACATGCCAAAGATGCCATCTTAGTGCTTGGCCAGAATTTGGATGATATGGGTACTAGATCAGGCTCCACTTTTTGCTTCTAGATTATTTTATGGGAAAATCATCCTATCTCAGCCTCAACACCCTTAGCTTTCTGTGCAGTTGTATAGATATCACCTAAATCATATGATATCGATGTTATACCTGTAGCTATGATACAAATGAACTCTGTCACACAAGTATTACAAGAATCAAATAAGACGACATCAGAACACTTTAAAAATAACCCCACCTCATCCGGAGAACGTCAGCCACACATTCCAACAATGGGCATATGTAACGAAAATGCAGCTAGGCAGGAAAGAAGCTGTTGAGCTTGCTGGATAGGAAAATGCCTATGGAAAAGAGGGAAGCTTATGGGAACTCTTCTGTTCAGGAACTGACCACATCAAAGAATGCCTGCTGTGCTTTCAGACAAAGGAGCCTTGGGCAAAGTGGTGCCCTGGGATGAGCCTCACCTGCTAACTACAAAAGGTTGCAGTTCAAACCCACCAATTGATTCTCGGGAGAACAATGAGGCTTTCTCTGTAAATCACATAAAGATTGACAGTCTCCGAAACCCTGGATATATATAGACAGGGTTTCTATGAG